ACTTCAAGAGTGTATTTTACAAACTGTAAACAAGTCTGATGCTATCTAAGCTGTCAATCGTCTTCCTGTATGTGTTTTCTAACTATTACAACAATTAAATTCTTTGTACCAAACCCCGAACCAAAAATATCTCAATATTTCCAAAAATACACCATCTAAAATCATACAGCAAGTAGAGGTAAAAATGGAGATTATTGGCAGATAACATCGATAGTAAACTTCTTTTACACTGTAATTGGTTAATTTATATGTCTGTTATTAGATCGACCTATAAAAACAATTGCTGGAAATATTCCCGCGAAATGCCACGCCCCCGATGGCTACCACATCGAAGTATGTAAACAATCGCTATAAAATCGCGTGTTTTAATTTTTTTCCACTTCTACCTTGCTAATAATAAGTCGCTTGATAGTATTTAGACGAATAAACATGTTTTCAACACGATTTAGCAAAAAATATCGCCAAAAACACCACCTTTCAAACTTTCAATGTTAAGTCTATGGGAAACTTTTTTGCCGTTTATTGGCTTTAAAAATCCTGTTTTTACGCCTTTTATGCTCTAATTGGTCATTTCTATCATGATTGACTCGATATCAACCAATAAGCGTTTTCTCGAAACTGTAAATCAGATCCACCCACCTCGGTTAGTCGCGCTAATAAAACTTACTCCGTTAGGCGCGGGGGTACTATAGTACCCCACTGATTTCTATTGTGGCGATTTCCATTATTAAGCGAAATAAACACCAACATGCACAAACGAAATTTTTTTTCTTAACTCTTTCTGCTCTGTGGATACTAAGAGGGTCTCTTTCAGCAAGCCCGTTATGGGGTTAGCCAGACCCAGAACGGTACCACCAGGTGGTGAGGCCTAACATAGCCAGATAAACCATCCCTCCCGAAAAATTTCTGAAAATTTTTTGACCCATCCAGAGTGGTAGCTGCCACCTTGACTGTTTGGCTATCCAGCTGTCGGCACAAGTGCATTGCAGTGGGAGGGGATTACTTTGAAGGGAATGAAATAAATGTTCATGAATAAATTCAAATCTTGCATTTTATTGAACCATTCCTGATACTTTTTGATCACCGGGTATTTAAGCACATTAAAATTTCTAAATTAAACCTTACAGTTAATGAACTGAACTAAACTAAACTAATTTTATTCCTTAGGAAACAAAGGACTGAAAACAGTAGCAATTATAGGAGGAATTACAGCTGGAGCTATTTTAGGACCTCTTGCAGTTGTCGGTGCTGTCGGAGCATTAGGGTTTGGTGCCGTCGGCGTCACGGCAGGATCTATAGCAGCAGGAATCCAGTCAGCCGTATATGGAGGGAGTGTTGCCTCTGGAAGCATTTTTGCCATTTGTCAAAGCATTGGAGCTGCTGGGCTTGGAATTGCTGGAACAGCTTCATCTGCAGCAGCAGGTGCTACTGTTGGTGGTATCTTTACTGGCATAACAACTAAAATTATTGGATCTAACTCAAATGAAGTAAAAATTTCGGTATCTGGATTAAGTAAAGTATCTCCTAATAATTTGGTTGGATATATCAATGCACTTATACTTGATTCCAATAAAACTATTATTATTCAACTTATGGATAAGTCACCTTTTGAAGTAAACAGTTATTCAGCAATATTGAAAACTATTGACACATTCGTCGACGCTGACACACTAGATGCTGACAAAACTGCATTTAAAAGCGTTGATGTAGTGTTTCTTTTTGATGAAACAACAGATATAAATGATAATTATAACATATTTAAAGATTTTGGAAAAGATCTAGAACAATATGCTAAAAAAACTGTTAAAGTAATTATAGCTGGCAGCAAAAAATATTGTGAAGAGAACTGCAAGACCTGTCGTGATTTCGCTCCATCAATACCCAAAGAGAATTTCTTAACTGTTATTTTAAATTCATAATCAAGTAAAACGAATGAATTTAAATTGTCTGAAATCTAAATTAACAAAAGTATAAATGTGAAATTCTAAATAAAAATATGGTAAATTCATTCTTTAAGATTGTAATTTAATAAAACAATCTTATATTATATATATTCTAAATATAATTGTTAATAGACTAAAAATATACAGTAGAGCGTCGATTTTCCGAAAGTCAATCATCCGAAAGAATTCCAGTCGGCAAATTTAAATTTTCGCCAGTGCTGTGGCGCTTCAATCTTTGGCTATGTCTTGGGCTACTCAAATATTTTACGTTTTTGATACTAAATTAACATCTGAAGTATAATTTTTTATTATTTTTATATTTTTCAATATATTTATTTTGTTTGTACAAAATAAAAAAATAATTTTTAACGATACAATAGTCTTTGTTAGGCTTAACATCGACGAAAATTCAACGCGAAGCGACACGCAACGGAGAAAAATTTCGACATCGGATACGTTAAACTATTTTTTCGTACGTAAATCAGTTATCCGGACAACCCGTCCCCAATTGATTCGGAAAATCGACGCTCTACTGTATTCACTTTTTCATCGTCCAATAATCAGGAACAACTATCTTCCACTGCAGAGACAACCTTTCTTTAGAGCAGTAGTTCTCAACCTTTCTGAGGCTGCGAAACACCATTTATATACTTTTTATTACACAGGGCATTAGCATCAATATACTGTATTCAAAAATTGATAAGCAATTCCATGTTTACTATTATCAGGAAATAATGAAGCAATAAACTAATAAATTTTAATATATTGAATAAAATAGAAACATGGAATTGTCTACGAATATAGCAATGAAAATAAATTTGAATAAAAACTTTAAAATCTTATCTTTCGTGGAACACTCGAGGTAGGTTTGTGGAACACTGGTTAAGAACCACTGCTTTAGAGGCTACACCTCTGCAAAAAAAATGCAAAACAGTCTAAANAAAAAAAAAAAAAAAAAAAAAAAAAAAAAAAAAAAAAAAAAAAAAAAAAAAAAAAAAATGCAAACAGTCTAAAAGTTCACGGGTGACAATCCCAGCACAATTAAAAATATAAAATTTCTTCTGTAAAAAAGAAATTTTATATTTTTAATTGTGTGAAAATGCAGTAGAAGATTGTTGTTCCTGATACTTGGACGTGACTAAAAAGTGAAGACATTTTTAGTCTCTGTTACGTTTCATTCTTTACGAGTTTGTCAATAAACAATTTCTGTTTTGTTTTACCAGTACATTTAAAGATAATTGTATGATTTTGGCATACTTTTCCTAAAATAATTGCTGTAGGATAAAATACAAATGGATCTTATCAAATACAATATAATGAAAACATTTACATAATTGTAGAACTAGTTGTAAAATCTAAAATATTAGATTCTTTTAGGAATTTATTGATATGTAATTTTAAATATTCTAGTAAATTATTATTTTGTTTTTATAAGCAAAGACAAATGAAAATTGAGAATTTATTATATAAAGTAATGTCTATTCCATTAAAAATCTTTTTTAATTGGTTTTATTAATTCTTTTGAAAAGGGTTTTTTAAAAAAGATATAAAGTAATATTGTGCATGACCTTCCACTTTAACAATTATTTTCTTTATTTACATCATTATACATTATTTTTTAAGTCACTTGGACTTATTAAAACAAAATTATCAAAGTTTCAAAAATATAATATTTAAATTGTTTGATGTGTTATTTAAAAAAATCACAATAAAAAAAACTGGCAATTATTGACAATTCTAATTGACATAACCTCATGCTGCTATAACTATTCCCTCTCATAAAGGGATTTGTGTATTGTTTATTTTGCTAGTTTCACTTATTTAAAAACTGAAATAAATAAATATAACTATGAAGTCAAAAAATAAATAAAATGTTATATTCTCATGTTTGATTTATTTACAGTATCATTCACTTCACCAAACTGAAATCTTTTTATTTTAATATTTTCATCAATTACTTCTTTTGAAATATCTTTTCCCAAAGGACATCTGAAAATAATAATAATTATTATTATTACATTAGTAATTATTTTAACAATTATATAATAGTCTAGTAGTATTAAAAACATTATATGACAACAATCTGGTAAACCAGATGTGCTGAGACACATGCCAACTGCTTTTTGAGGCTCCAACTACAAATTTCCTATATTATCTAGCCTGGATATGTTGAACCCTGTCCTTCACCCTTCTGACTACTTCACTGCTGGCAGAATCAGCAATAGTTGGTTCATCCAGGTTCATCGATATTTAAGAGGAAAAAAAAACCACTCTTCATAAAATTGAGTTATTTAACATATTACATACATAATTGCTGTGTATAAGATCTCTGTTTTTATAAATCTACTCTATCAAATTGGTTTCTATTCTATCTCTTCCAAAACTATTTCAAAAAGTAGTAAAAATAATTTATTTTATATTAAATTTTCACTGTATGATTAATGTTCTTCAATTTTAACATTTTTTTCAACCAGTCCCTTCAAATCCTTGTAAACTGCAATAATAACATTACCACATTTAATATCATTCAATTTTGGGATTTAATAGATTGAAAGATTAAGTCTCACTTCAAATGACATTACTCAAAACACAAAATGCACTGTTTTTATATTCAGTTGGTCAGGAGAGTTATAAATGTTCAACAAATTGTCAAGTTTGTTTTGCCATGTTGTGATAATGCAAGACCAACTACAAATACCAGACCTTAAGCCAGGTATTGGGATGATGAGTACTTTAACAGAAATTATATGTCAAAACTTATAATTTAAAATCATTTAGAGAGGAAGTTGTGAAGAGGAATGACAATCTTGTTTCACAATTACTGTAAAAGGACTATATGGTGATTATGTGAATAGATGATGATTAAGTGGCACTTTATGAAAGCTTCAAAATAATAAATGATTTGATTGTGTACATGTTATATAAGAATATATGTTTGCCATCAGAAAATTTTACGCCAGATTTTAGAATTTGAAGATCAGAAAAAAATTAAATGTGGCAAGTGAGGTAAGTTTGACTGCTTGGTAAGTCACCTTTAGACATTAGAGACAAAATTAACTTTCCAACTAATCTTTTGAAAGACTCACTCTTATTAGAAACTGACTTGAATGCAGAAAGTATTAAAATAAAATTTGCTTTGGAGCAGTTGGAACTGGTTTTAGCAAAACAAGTGAGTATTCTATAGAACTGTAAATATGGGCTGCTGCTCTTTCATATTCCTTTCCTGATAGTTACAGTGTAGTGAGGAATACAATTGTAATGACTACCTTACCCAGTGTACTTGAATAAGTTTTAAACAAAGTAGATGCAACAATCCTTGTATTGGGTCTTCTCATAAAGTTTTTCTAAAAGAAAAATGTACATTCTTAAAGGATGAAAACAATTATCATAATGCTAGATAAAATATTTGTTAATTCAAAAATACCATTCCAATTATCTCTCCTGCTTTATATGGATGAAAACTGCCTGAGGTGAAAGTGCAAGTATTATACAAGTTTTCATGTCAACACCCCCTTGTTCTAAGAACAAAAATTTATAACTGGAAAAAGATCAATAACATATGAATGCTGATTTATTAATGAAATCAACTATTCAGATCCTTAAAATAATGAATGAACTTGAATTTGATGTTCTATGTGTAATTTATGATAGTTATGCCACAGATAGGAAAATGTTTGAGCTCAAGTTGCAGCTTTCTAAAAAAATTTGTATCTAATCCAGCTGATCTATCAAAATCATTGTGTCTATGTTTTGATAATGTACACATTCTAACATGTATTAAACACTATTTGTGCTGTAAACTTTACACAAGGTTGGTCAAGCCTATCTGATAGCACACTCCACAAAAGCAAATAAAATATTTTGTTTAAAATAAATTTTATAAATTCTTGGAATCAAGTAGTTGTTCAGAAGAATTTTTCACTGAATATACAGTAAGGGATGTGGTTTATAGATTCCAGAGGAACCGGGTAGTTTTTACTGTAGCTTAGTGACCATAAATGAAAATGTTCAGTTCCCTTTTGCGTATGTGCATGGACATGCGTAACAAATGGATTGAACAGAACATAACTTAGGTAACAAAAGTGAACAGTCTCACTGCATGTGCATGTGTACATGCACAATAAATGGATTGAATGGAAGCATGACAAAGTACAATTGAATCTACTTGGTAAATATTTGCATGCAAAAATTTTGTATATTATACTCTATAAAATGAAAAATTGATTTTCAAATTGTTCTTTGTCATTAATAGATCTTTTTGCATGTATTTACTTGATTTTAAAATGATCTCCTGGCAAACCTAAAAAAGGATTAATATTTAAGAAGAATTAAGTTGTATGTTAAAAACAAGATTAACTATTTTTTCAAACTTAAAGCAACTTATTTTGCATAGCTCTCAAGAAGTCACACTCAACATCAAGTAATTAAAATGTAAATAAACAATTTCAAATAATTTTTAATTAAACCCTTGCTCAGGAAAAATTGTATCTGCAACTTTGTTGTCTTGAAAAATGGCAAAAAACTGATTCCCACTTACACAGTACACATTATTACCAAACAAACACTATACTATAAAGATAATGCTTGAGTGATTTTATCATTAAAAAAAAATGGTTCAGAAAGAAATACTTGCTTTTGAGTTATGTTTGTGGTCATAGAAAAATGTCATATCTGAGAATGTTACGTTTTTTCACAAACAGCATAGGGGAAAATTTAAAAGTATCTGATTGAACAGAAAGTTCTCGCACTTTTGGACGCATTTCATTTAGCCAAGAAAATTTTATGTACAGAATTGAGTTCAATCATCAATGTAATCACCATTGTTGTTGACTACTTCCTGCCAATGCTTATGCAAGGAATGGATGCCATCTCGATAAAACTCTGGCAGCTGTGACTTGAAGAAGTTGGTCAGGCTGGCCTCCAAGTTGGCTTCATTGTTGAACTCCTTGCCAGCCAGGTGATGGTCAAGCATGGTGAACAGGTGGTAATCCAAAGGTGCAATGTCAGGGCTATACGGTGGGTGGGGAATGACCACCCAGTTCAGGGCCAGTAGCTTCTGGCAGGTCTGCCTAGCCATATGTGGCCGTGCATTGTCAGGCAGCAGAATGGTGTTCTGGTGTTCCGGGTGTGTCTCCACCAGTTTCTGCTGATCAGACGTCACCAGACGTCGAGTTGTTTGCAGTAGAAAGTTGAATTGATGGTTATATTTTGCAGCAGCAACTTAAACATGATGATTCCTTTAGAATCCCAGAAGACAGAAAGCATGATCTTCTTGGATTAGGGATCTCCACTTCTGAAACGTTCATACCAATTGTATGCAGTTCTTCTGGCGACAGTATCTGGGCCTAACACAGCATTGATGTCGGTGATAGAATTGGATGCTTTTTTTTGGAACAATAGTCATAAATGAGGAGCAGGCGAACTTGCTCTTTGGTTAGCAGATGCTAGGTTGGTCATGGTAAAGTAGAGTGAGAGTGTGAAGAAGTGGGAACTGTGTTGGATTATGAGAGTTTGTACCCTTCCATTAAGATTAATTCTTGTTTGGAAACTCTATTGGAGTTCTTGTTTAGAGAAAACCCGATATTAACGCATCACAGAAAAGATGTTATAGAAATGGTTAATCTTATATGTTGCGAATCTTTTTTCACTTTCGAAGGCCAAACTTATAAACAAAATAGGGGAGTTCCGATGGGAAGCCCAATTTCGGGGCTTCTATGCGAGCTTGTGGTTAGAAAATTGGAAGAAAAAGTATTGCGAAGCTTTGAAAGAGAAATCGTTTACTACAAGAGATATGTGGATGATTTATTTATAATATGGAGGAATAATCAAGAAATTACTAGTTTCATAGATAGAATCAATGATAACGAGGAAGGCCTCAGCCTGAAGCTAGAGCAGAAAAGTTCCGTGATGGTACCTTTCTTAGATATTATCATCATCTTTAGCAAAGGGTATCCACCAGCGTGTACATCAAACCAACACAAAGCCCAACACATTGGAATTAGCAGGGATGTATATCCCTGCTAATTCCAATGACCCGTATCGTTACAAACTAGCAGCATTTCGTGCCTTGGTTAGAAGGGTTTTTCTATACTGCGACAACATTATAGACCGGGTTACTGAGATAGAAAGGATCATACAGTTAGCAGAAGCCTTAGGATATAAGAGAAATATTATAACGGGTATTGTTAAAAAATTTGAGAAGAATAATGATAAAGTCTCCAGACAAGGTCCATCTAAGTACACAAAATTTACATTCAACAATATTTAGGAGGAATTATGAAGGAAATTGCAAGCGTTAAAGATTCGACGGTGATTTTGAAAAGAGCTCCCAATTTATATAAAATTCTTAGAAACAATAAAGAGGTTATTAAAAAAGAAGATAAGGCAGGTGTTTACAAGATTCCCTACGAGAACCAGCTATTAGGAATAAAAAAAGATTACGTAGGAGTTACTACCAGAAACCTCGGGGTAAGGATTAGAGAACACAAATATGATGCTAGGAAAGGGTCTAATACAACAATATTGGCCCAGATGGCGCAGGCCCAAGGATCCCTGGTTGGATGGGAGGAAGCGGAAGTCGTGAGACAAGTACACTCACCAACGTTGGCGAAGATGGCCGAAAAAATGGAGATATACAGGAGCAAACTTAAAGAAGGATGCATTAATGCTAGAGATGCGGAAGGTCTTCCCTCGGCTTGGAAATTTGCTGTTAAAAAAGCTTACAAGTAGCGCATCAACTGAAATATGATATGTATTTGATTTAAAGGAAACTTAGTAGCTTCTATTTAGCTATGATAGATCGTATTAATGTTTAGTCTTTGTAGTATATTATTTATTATTAGGTATCGTTTGAAATTTATGTTTTATTCTTATTAATTGGTTTGTTATCAGTTTATTGATATTTTTGAATTTTTGAACTTATTGTTCCATTTATTATGTATTCCATTTTCTTATGTTCTAGCCTGATGATGATCCGTTAAGTGAATCGAAAACATTCGTTTTTAATAAAACTCCCTCAGCAAACAATAAGGTGTTGATTACGTTATTTATTCAGTGTATGAAAAAACAGTATAATTCGTGCACATGTTGTGAAGCCTTAAATCTTTTTCATTGCACTGCAATTTGAAAAAACTGAAGACCTATAAATTTCCACTGTTGTCCATCTTTGTTCTCGACATTAAGGAAAGTTAGATAGATGAAAGACGAGACCAGATACGGAAACCATAGTGGCAGGAGACTCCTATTAACTATATATGAACTTCCATTACAAACCAGAAGTCAGGTTATTTCAATTCAAAAATTTTCCCCTGAAAGGCATTAGATAGATGACCAGCACAACAATCATTAAAAGAAAAGTATGATGTACAGGAGCAACATATTGCTAATTTTAAGTTGGAGAGTATATATTTTAAATTATATAAATTTAAAAATATGATTAAAGATTGCAGCCCGGCATTGTGATGATGTCACAATAAAATAATTGTTCGTTTCCAAATATAAAATGGTAATGGTTGAAAAGGAACTCTGTTGAGACATATCAAGTCTTGGCAGAGTAAGTCTTTAGCAAGAAGGGTACTCATGCATCACATAGGAAAAATGTGCCATGTTCATAAAGTTAGCATGATATGAACCCAAACAGCATAAGAATCAAATTCACATGTATTGCATAATGAATGAATTCCCAACAAAGAAATGCAGATAACATGCTAATTATCAATAACATTTGAAAGTATATATGGATACACAACAGTCAAGACAAAACACACTTAGAAAAGGTTTGAATTTTTTATCATCCTTATAATTCTGTGTGCTAACAGCTACTTTAAATGATGATGCAAGAAAATAAATTCCTAATGACAGCTGTATGGGAAACTACATATGAAAATGTTATTATAAAAAATATAGTATAATTTATCATAAAAGTTATTTGTAATTTGATTAAAATTTATCATCATCAATGAGAACTTTTTTCTTAAATACAAATGTAATACTATCTATCTGTATTTATTTTTAACTTTTTATATTACACTGTTCTGCATCAAAATCTTCTCATGAAAGAAAATGTGATTTTTTTTCATGTACTTTAGTGTGCTGAATATGAATCTGTAGTCCAAAATCTTCTATTACCCACAGTTTTCTGTTTTAAATAACATGTTTTTGCAGAAAAATGTCTCTTTTAGACAAATTTTCTATACTGTTGTTTGAACTGTAGTGGAAAGTTTAGGAAAAAGGTGTCCTGTTACAGAAAAAGGAAATCAGGAAATGTGAAATTTTTTCAATGGAGGACAATCTTGTCTTTTGCAACAATATAGCACATTTGTTGGAGGAGCTTCAGCTGTCACAGCATCCTGCATAGTGGTGTCTCTTTACTGACTTATCAAAGTTCAGCCTTAAAGGAGTTTTGCTGCACAATGGCAACAAATGTGCTAACAGGTCTTCAAGGAGGATACATTAAATTCTGCTGTTATGACAGCTGATCAAGAACCAATCACTACTTGGAAAAAAAGTGGCCTGATTGTACAGCAAATGAACAGGGAAGGAGAAGGCTTTGCTTACTATAAGCAAAAGTTCTCTCATCTGAGTGATGCAAAAGTAAGGGAGAGAATTTTGGTTGGTCTCCAAGTAAGACAGCTTTTAAAAGATCCTAGTTTCATGGTCAAACATAACCCAGTGGAAAGGCCAGTATGGAATGCATTCAAAAAACACAAGGAGGAAGTTTTCGGGGGGAATATACTAGATAACAACTTTGAGGAAATCATGGAAAAGTTAGTAACATCCTACAAAACACTGGGTTGCAATATGTCAGTCAAGATACATTTCCTGCATTCCCATTTAGATTTTTTTTCTGCCAACCTAGGAGCTATTTTTAATGAACGTAGAGTCTGATAAAACCTTTGTCCTTCTCAAATGGAAAAGCAATATGGTGGAAGGTGGAATGAGAAAATGTTAACAGATTACAGCTGGAGTCTGTCTACAGTTAGAGTATTCAGAAGAAGAATAGAAGAATATAAAAGGAAGAAAACTTGTCATTAAGTGTTTCAGTTTTTAAATGTATACAATTATAAAAAAGAATAATTAACAATAATTTATTTGTATCTAATTAGCCAATTAGCAATGTGCATGGCCAATAAATATATTTTGAACAGAGAACATTTTCCTTCAAAAACCTCATTTTTCTCAAAAGTGCTGGGTTGTTAGGCCAATTCTGTTGCCAAATTCAGCACCATTTAAAGTATAAAAATCAGTGAAAATGTTGATGGGAGCAGAAATAATTTTTTTTTTGCAGAACAGTGTTATTATACTATAAATTTAGTCATATTTGTAGTCAAAACTAAATTTTAAAAAAATAATTTATTCTATTTTTAAATAAATTAATTTACTAACTTTGAAATAACATTAACTTCATCTATACTTTTTGTTATTCCAATTCCGGCTTTCAAACGTTCCATTCCATTCCTATATAAAAATTTTCATTTCAATTCTAATAATTTGAGTTATTTTTATCATCATAAATACAAAACTGAAAAATTTATTTTCTAATAGTACAGTTTCTAATAGTAATATTAAAGAATTTACAGCATGTAAAAGTTTGTTAATCTGGCATTTGATAACCCAGAATGTCTGGCAAACTTGCATGCTAGTATACTGCAAATCAGAAGTTATTTGGACATTTGGTTATATCAAGATGAAGATGGAGGAGTGCATCTCATTGCATGTCAGAAGCTTGACCATAGGATAAAAAGCAATATGAAAAAAAAATTACTCATTTTGTTATGGTACCTTGTTTGTGGTTGGTCAAATGCTTTCACTGGTACTGGTGCCTAATAGATGTTTATGCAAAAATCTTTGGTGATGTTTTCAAGTCTGATCCCAAATGTTTGAAAACAAGAATTTAATCCTCACCATCTCAAGGCAGAATTTATAAAAGAAGCTTTCCTCCAAAGTAATTCTAGTCATTTGAGAACTACTCTTCTGTTTCTCTCCAACCATTATTCATTCAGCAATGTCGACAAATAGAATAAACAGGTTGATACAACTTTTAGGTAACATACCTCATCTCTAAACCAAACTTCAGGCACTATTTGCTTTCAATATTGACTATCAGCTTCCACTCAATGGTAAAGCCAGCATTTATGCAACATAAGTAATCTGATCATGCACAGAAAACAAAATGACAATAGAAAAAGTGGCAAAGGTATGAAAAAAAATATACATATAAGGTTATAAAACACTGCCACTTAAAACTGGTTATACTTGAATTAAAAACACTAAAAACTATAATCCAGCTGATTTTATAAAAAGTGCAAACATTTGCCTGATGATGCCCACTCAACACAGGCAAAAATGTTTGCACTTTTTATAAAAACAGCTGGATTATAGGTTTTAGTGTTTTTTAATAAATAAGGTTGGGTTAGTTATACATCCAGACAACTGAGTGCATAATAATATAATGTCATTGGCAAAAAAGTTGTTATTAACAATAATAATAATAATAATACTAACAGCAGAAATAAAGCAGCATGATACAAATAACAATTTTTGTTTATCATTTGCACTGAGTGAATATCAAGCTGGGGTAAAAACTTATTCAGCTGATGGAAGACTATGGGCAGTCATCCTAGTTGGTGCAGAAAGTGACCTATGGTTTTATCTTCTAAACTTATTGCTCTTCAATCTTTCCTTCTAGACTTGGTCTAGAAGGAAAGATTGAAGAGCAATTCAAGTAGTGTAATTGGAACATATCTGAATGGTATGCAGGGGTTGCAGGTTCGAGTCCCATTCTGGACTGATCTTTTCTTTCAGAACATTCTAAAGTTGTATTAAATTTAATAATTAGAATTTAATTAACTAAGATGGTAACATAATTTTGACTAAAGGAAGACAATTTTCATAATCTCTATATATTTAATTAGCCAAGTTATGACCTGATGAATATGGCATTATCATTTGGTTATAGGAGAAATGCAGAGAGAACTTGAGAGTATGGAGTGCAAAGGATGTCATTTCATAAGGATTTTTCACAACATTGTGTGAGTAATTTTGACTAAATTGCAGTAAATGATGCACATAAGTATTAGAATATTAGAAGTTTTGATTTGATGGAAACTGAGTAAAAAAAATAATAAATGATTTTCTTAAAAAATTCTCCACAGAAATAACGTTAATTTTAAAAAATTTATTTGAATATCTTACAACCTAGATAATATAATGAAAATTAGTTAATGAAATAAAGACTATTAGTAGATGCTTTGAATATGCACTACCACAAGAGATGAAAAAAATTTGGAGTTTAGAAATTTCTAGAATGTTCTAAATGATTTTGAGTGAAAAATAATTAATTAAAGTTGATAAAAGAAGGTTATCTCTATATTTAATACTTCTGAAAATTCTCTTATTGATATTTTTAATGTTGAGGATCAAGAAATATCTAAGAAGGAAGATTCTCTTGTAATAAATTGCAAAAATTCATTCAAACTTCTCAATAAAATATATTTATAATGAAAATCAATTGATGTTAATTCAATTTTCCTTCTATAACCTAAAAATCTTTTGTTTTTATTTTTCAATGTTGAATTCACCTTACTTTCTTGATAGGAGCACATCCTCACATATATCAAAATCTACTAATTGTCTTTATTCCATTAATCAATTTTCATTTTATTAGCTAGGTTAGAAGGGATTCAAATAAATTTTTGAAAATAAAAAATTCTGCATAGACAATGTTAAAGAAAATCACTTTTTATTCTTTTACTCTATTTCTGCCAGGTCAAAACTTCTAATATTCTATTTCTTTTTAATATATGCATCTCCAAAGCATTATTTTATTTACCAAGACTTAGTTGGAATTGTTCTCACAAAATTATGAAATGACATCTTTTGAATTTGAAGATATTTGGTATTCTTGCATTGACATCATTTATGATCTTAACAGCCATGTGTGATTTAGATATCATTTTTAATAAATCATTTATTGAAAAAAGCAAAAATGTTCAAAAAATTACATCTACTTGATAACTACAAAGGAGATAAATCACTATATCAATTTTTATTAGATTATAAATAACATTACAAATGCAAGAATACTGAATACATTTCCCATCTCCTGAAGTGGCTAGCAAATTGCTTTCATAAGTCTAACCGACCTACATAAGTCTTCACTGCCTAAACCAACCTTCATCCACCCTTTGGTTCATAACAACAGTTTCATTTTTCTTTTTTGTTACTTCCACCTATATTGTTTTTGATGAATTAATATTTTGTTGTAATTCCATTTAAAGTATCCAGTTCAATCTGCTGCTATTTAGAATTCAATTAAAATGAGATTTTTATAGCTAAAAAGATAAATAATATATTTTATACATATTTTATTTATATATCCTACTTATACTTTTTTGGTATATTCACATTCACAATGCAAATTTGACATTTTTGTAATCTATTATATTCTTTGCTATGGAGAATTCTGATGAAATTGAAGAAAATAAACACTGAGATAATCTAGATCTTCCAGCAAATGCTCAAATTCAAGCTCTACAAATACTTTGTATTGTTTACAGTGCACAGATGTGTTGAGTTTTGCAAACATTATGAACATGAGCATTTTAATGAAATATTGCCAAAAAATAACACTGGATGAACTGAATAACTACTATCACTCAGAAGTATTTATTTTAATTTTATATTATTATTACTATAAAATGAAAATAAATTAAATAATTATCTGATTCAATAAAACTAGTATTTTCAGTAATTGTAGTCTCATTACTTTCACTGTATAATGTTATTAGTACAAGCTATTCCCAAAGTGACTGCAATAAGCAGCACCTATTGTATTTCACTATAAAAAATTAAGATACTCACCAAGCAATCATGATACCATTATCATTGCATAGTTTGGGAGGAGGACAGGAAAACTGCCAACCTGAGTGACCACATAATTTATTTAAAGCTGCTCTAATATAAGCATTGCATGCTACACCTCCAGAAAATACCAATGTTCTTTTGTCTTCTGGTATTAAGTTTTTTTTTTCACAGAATATCATGGCCCGCTGAACTTGTCTAACCAGATGTTTTGTAAAAGCATGAAGTATTGAGGCACAGAAATCAGAAATATTTGGAATTAAACCATCAGCAAAAACATCTAATTAATAATATAAAAGAATTAATTATTTCTTCAATATTTCATACTTATTGAACTGAAAGAAGAAATACAGTAGGATCTTGTTTTACATGGGATTGATATACACAGATTCATGTCTTTGCAGATGGTAAATAGTTAGGTTAACATTTGGTTGCACAGGAATAATTCTGACTCTAGACTAAGTACACCAATCAAAACCTTGACAATCCAGTAAATAATGTAATGCAAATTTGACAAATGTTTTCAATCTTAAACAAGATTACTTCAGGTCAACATTCTAAATTTAGAATGCAAGATCAAAAATGTTTGTCAAATTTATATTACATTAAATTATTTACTGGATTATGAGGGTTTTGATTGGTGTACTTATAGTTATCAATCCAGTTAACATGAAGTTAATTTCACTCCGACTATTAATTCACATGCTGATTATTATTATGAAATTCAGTATATAGTAAAAACATAAGTAAAGTATTTAAACACATTTTAATATTTTTTATTAATTATAAATGGTTCCATAAGAGTCTAGCTTGGAGTGGAGTTTGCAAAATTTTGTTTTACACAGTACCCAATGACCCACAGTCGCCTGCATAAAACAAGACCATACTATAATACTGAAATTATATTAATCTAGTTCTATTAATGTTTAAATTAAATATATAAAACTGTCTTATTTAATGTACACTAATAAAAATATAATTTTCTATTTACATTTTAAAATTAGAAGAAATCATTAAATTTCCCATTGAATTTAGTAGCCATTAACAGTTCATTATGTTTTGTATTGGACTTAAGTGGAAAAATTAAGGACTCAGTATTTAAACAGATTTATAATTTATTAAAAATTTTTGTTTTGTGATAAAACTGATTTTTATTTACCAAATTATACAGTTTTATTTATTAAAATTCAAACCAGCCAACTTATCAAGTAAGTTTTTATTAAACACAAAATAAACATTGTAAACCATTATGATAAATATTTACATATTATTGTATAAATAATTAAAACGATTAACTCTTAATTGCTTTTTAATGCAATTTTTTAATCAAATTTAATTAATTGTTCTAAAGTTGTAGTGCACAAATTTTACTTCGGTAAAGTTATTTAAAGCTAGTTTCTGATGTCAAAAACAACCTCCAATAGTTTTTTAATTTTTTAAATTAATATATTTTATTATATATACATTTAATTAAGTCGGGGGGGGTCGGAAATTGCAATAAAAATTTTAATTTTTTTAAAATATTTAAAAATATACTGCCAGCTAGTATTCACCCTACTTTAAACCCTTGTCCTCCCGAGACGTCTATGAGAATGTCCCGGGAAATCCAACACCAGATATTCTCAAGGTCATCCAGCTGTGTAAACAATGACTCATCAGTGTCAAATTTCACAGAAAGGTGAGACAATGGAAAATAAAGTTTGAAGCTTTTTCTTTAAAACTAACACATTTCTTTCATTTTTTTTTCATTTTTAAGTATTTTTTATGTTTAAAAATTCCTTAAAAAAATTCGGGAACAAGTGGTTAATAATTGGCCAGATCATTTCAACTTCAACTGACTGAATAAATAAAGACTAGTGATCTTCAAATGTGTAATTTTAATCTATCAATAAGTTAAAAATAAGAGTTGCCACCTTTCCATATCATCTGACCCAAAAACTACAGTAAAAAAATTGTAAATTACCTGTAGGAAATAAAAAAATACTAGCCCCCTATAACGCGGGTTCATAAAATGCAGATTCGTACATCGCAGTGAAAAAATTGCGTATTCATATAAAGATGCTAAAAGGGACTCGTAAAATGCAGTAAAATGTCATCACCGACTCGTGTCGCGACAGGATTGGTCGAATCTGGACCAATAGTGGACGAGCAGCCGAACTACTTACACGCTACGGAGAGTTTAGGCGAGTAAGTTGAGTTTACTATCATCTGTACAGTATATAAATTAGGTACTGTAAGTCTAATACAGTACTGTAATTTTATACATTTCTTGTGAAAAAAAATCATTTCTTATTCAATGGCCATAAAAATTATTTCTATTAATGATGACTCCAAAGTTCACGAATTTTTCGCAGAAAAATAACTTATCAGAAAACGCACCCGCCATTTGGTGTGCTGCTCCGCGACGAAAACAAGCTAAACAAACGGTGCACACTTGGTAAGTAATCCTACAATTTTTTTTTATAGCATAGTTTATACGGATTTTTCCCAAAAAATTATACTTGTTTTGGAAATGTTGAGTCAAATTAGTCTAGAATCAATTAATTTTATGGAAGAAAACCTTTCAAACAGCCATAGTCCGTAAACTGTACACGTGCCGGGCTGTGATTGGCTCATGTATTTAAGGATTCCTACAACGCAAAATTCATATAAAGTGAAACGTATCTACCACGTTATAGGGAGGTTGACTGTATATTGCAATTACTTTTTGTTTTATACAATATCACACTGCTATACAGGGTGTCTGAAAAGTTACTATGCAGTGGTAAAGACTTAAAGGAAACAACCCAAAGACAAACTAATTAATATTTGGGAGGGCATGGCAATTGACCTTCAATGGTACCAGTTAATAGAGAGTGTTTTATCACGTTAATTATATTAATACTACAGCTTAAGATATGTTGCATTTGTGAAAACTCAAATATTGTATTTTGTGAAAAAATTTGTGATATGTATGTATGTATACATATAGAATATTAATTGTAAGTAATTTTTACCCTTTACTATTTAATAGTTTTTTTTAAATTGTATTTTTAAAAAATTGTATTGTAATATAATGTAGTTTACACTTATACAGTACTTTAACTAAAAGAACTGATGTATAGTTACATTTATTGTAAAAAGAAACAACAGAATACATAATATTGGATAAATTTAAAATAGAGTAAGACCTAAAGTCATGATTTTTTATAGTTTTATGTTTTTAGGTTATTATAAATTATGTTTTATGCAATATAGACAACATTTTATGTATATTTATGGAAAACAAGGTTGTGAAAATAGAAAAATTTTATGTTATTCCTTTATGAAACATGTCTTTGTTTGAAAAATTTTTTTATACATATATAAATAATGTCAGGATCCTAACTGTAATGAAGTTGTTTTTTTAACAGCACTGAAGAGGGGGTTGTAAATTTACAACAACCCAAAATGCATTTGTATAACACCCGTTCAATTTGTGCAATAAAGTCTTAATTTTCTAACCGGAAGTGCTGCGAGACTGTCAACCAAATAGTTTTTGGATTAAAGTGACTATATATATAGTTTTAATTTCATAGGTCAACCATCCAATCATCTCAACAGTCCACAGTAGGTATCATCAAACATCATTGCTTCCTCATAAATCTCAAGATAATATAAAAGATAAAATAGAATGCTACAGTCACTATAAAAAACAAAATGCAGATAAGTTTCAAAGTATGAAAAGAAAAAAAAAACAACAGTAGTTGAACCATCCTCTAATCATTCCACAGAGGAAAGAAGCACTGAGGAACCAGCATATCACAAAATAATGCAGCTGAAACTACACTCTATATCAGGGGTTCCCAACCTTTTTGTGGCACACAGGCACACTGAGATCGCAAAAAATAGTGGCGGGCATAATTTGGATTTAAAAAAAATATAAATATTATGTTCTTTATTATAATATGCATTTTGTAACATATTTACTATAACATATTATATATTTATTATAAAAGCAGAATTAGTGTAATCTTTGACACTGCATTTCATTTGCTAATTTCTAATAGTTGGGAGTGTAAGATGATAATCCCAATCTTAAACAATCTTCAAGGTTGGCATTTGTAAGTTGAGACCTGATTTTTGATTTTATAATATTTATGGTGGAAAATAAAGATTTACACAAGTATGTGGTACCAAAACAGGATTTGATTTTGAAAGCTCCTTTTTTCAAAAGATTATACTTTTTATGATCAACTAAATTCCAAAAGTTTTCATCTTAATTGTGAGATTTTAATATGATGTCATTTTGAAAATCTAAAATCTTTTCAATTATTGATGTTTCTTCTTGAAAAAGTTCTGCTATAGATTTAGCAGTTTCAGTAATGTCTACTTATATAGTAAAAGGATTTACAAAAAATGTAGCCACGGGTTCAATAATGGTAAATTGCTGGAATCTACTTTCAAACTGTTCCAAAAGTGTTTTAAGATGAGTAATAAAAAATATTAGGTCAAAATTATTTTTGCCAGTGACTTTTTTCATCGTTGGAAAGTGTATAAGAGAATTTTTCAACAAATTATTTATTCAAAACTCTATTTTGGCTTTGAATGCTTTTATAGAGCTAATCATTTCAGCTAAATGTTTATTTTTTCCCTGGAGATCCAGGTTTAAACCATTCAATTTTTCACATATGTCAGTTAAAAAAGCCAAGTCCATCAACTATCGTAGGTTATCTAATTGTTCAAATGTTTGACCTTCTAAAATAAGGAATTCTTTTATCTGTTCTAAAAAATCAAAAAATCGGCTTTGCCTTTACTTATTTATATCTTTATGAAAGATAAGGTCAGCTTGGGAAGATTCGTCCTTTCCTACAAGGGCTTTAACAATCTGTGTGATAAAGAATTTGCTCAAATTTTGTTAATTATTTTAACAACAACATTCATAACATGTTCAAAGGATAATATTGGCACATAATGATTCTTGATGTATGATACAACGATAATATATAAAGTTTGGAAACAATTCATCTTTCTCGCAATGGGAAATAGAATCCATTATTGCAGCCCATCATTGCTGGTGCACCAGCTTGGTACAAGAATCGGCTGGTACGTACGTGGGGGTGGATGAGGGATTGTGGTATACAGCTGTGTGGATGGTGGGCCCTACTATTTTTATTTCAATGTCGAGGAAATGGACTTCTTCTGTACTAGTCTGCTCTAGTTCAACGGTCAGGCCGAAAGGGTTGCTGTTGACGGTTGTAACGAAAGTTGTCATGCCAGGGACCTCCTTCCATATGATAAGAATGTCGTCCACGTATCTTT